CAGCTGAAGATGGAGACGCTCTATACAGTCAGCAAAAACAAGACTGGGAGCTGACTGTGGTTCAGATTATGAACTCCTTATTGCCAAATTCAGACTTAAATTGGAAAAAGTAGGGAAAACCACTAGACCATTCAGGTATGACCTAAATCAAACCCCTTACGGTTATACAGTGGGCATGACAAACAGACTCAATGGATTAGATTTGATAGACTGCCTGAAGAACTATGAATGGAGGTTCATGGCATTGTACAGTAGGTAGTGATCAAGACCATCCCCAAGAAAAAGAAATGCAAAAAGCCAAAATTGAGGCCTTACAAATAGGTGAGAAAAGAGGAGAAGCTAAAGGCAACGGAGTAAACAAAGATATACCCATCTGAATGTAGTTCCAAAGAAAAGCAAGGAGAGATAAGAAAGCCTTCCTAAGTGATCAGTGCAAAGAAGTAGAGGAAAACAATAGAATGGGAAAGACTAGAAATCTCTTCAAGAAAATCAGAGCTACCAAGGGAATATTTCATGCAAAGATGGGCACAATAAAGGACAGAAATGGTATGGACCTAACAGAAGCAGAAGATATCAAGAAGAGGTAGCAAGAATAAACAGAAAAATATACAAAAATGATCTTAATGACTCATAACTACAAGTAATTCACTCTTTTTCAAGTTTTGAGGCTGCTTATATCTAGGCACAGACTGATTTACTAAAACTTGGTCTGAAACCCCAGCACTTATAGAAGGGCAAAGTTGGTTTCTGCTCTAAGAGGAATGGAATGACGGATGCAGGGACAGTTTTACTTTTCCTGCTAAACTTGAATATGGAAAATATGAATAACCTCCACTTATCCAGTAGAATGGGTTTTTAGATAAACAATGTTAAAGTCTAGTACATTACACTTGAGTTCTCTTCTTGTATTTCAGTTACTGGGACTGGATCATATATGATATGGGCTCTGGACCTTTTCAATAGTCAGGTATGGATGTGAGAGTTGGACCATAAAGAAGGCTGAGCACCAAACAATTGGTGCTTTCAAACTGTGGTGCTGGAGAAGACTCAAGAGATGCCAGGAGATCAAACCAGTCAATCCTAAAGGAAAGCAACCCTGAATATTCATTGGAAGGACTGATTCTGAAACTGAAGCTCCAATACTTGGGCCACCTGATGCCAAGAGCCAATTCACCAGAAAAGACCCTGATGCTGGGAAAGACTGAAGGCAGGAGAAGGGGATGACAGAGGATGAGATGGTTAGATGACATCATTGACACAATGGACTTGAGTTTGAGGAAACTCCTGGAGGTAGTTTAGGATAGTGAAGCCTGGTCAGCTGCAGTCCATGGGTTCACAAAGAGTCGGACACAAACAACTAAACAACAACAACAGCTAACAGGTGCTGAAAAAATGCTATTTGAGATACTGAATTTAATCCTCATAAAAGAACTATAAAGTGGGTAGACTATCATTATCTGAATATTATAAAAGAAACTGAAGCCCAGCACAACAAAGAATTATCACATAAAGAAACACGTAAAGCAACACCTTGAGAGAGAAAGGAAGGCACATGATACCTAAAGACATGAAGTCACTTTCAGAAGGCCACAGTGGCCAGAACAGAATCAGGGGCCCACTCAACACACTTTTTGGTACAGTCTCTTTTCCTCTTACCAGTGCTTCCTGATTTCAAACTTCTCAAGTTCCTCCTGGAAGATGTAACATATTACAGAATAGACATACAACAAAAGAGTCTAATTTTTCCTGAGTCTTAAAGTTTTGTGAGATCAACTCAGAATCAGGTGAAAGATCCAAATAACGGTAGATAAAAGAGAGAAGGATATATAGATATCAAAAATTTCAAAACCTCAGACAGGTCGAGCTACTAGCATATGCTCTTTGATTTCACCTATGGTTCATGATACAAGGACAGTAAAGGGAATGCAGTTTTGTACAAGCAGATGTTCCAGTTATATATGACAGCATAACAAGCCGCTCTGAAAGTAGAGGCTTAAGACTGAAATTTATTATCATCTCTCATGGTATTTTATAGGTTGCCTCGGGTCAGCCTGGTGGTACTGACTCAGAGCCTCTCCTGAATTTCAGTGACCGGGCCTGAAGTCATCTGAAGCAAGAAGAGTGAAATTGGATTTCACTCTCAGTGGGAGCCATAATAAAGGATATGCAGCCTTCTTTAATGAAGGAAGGCCCTACAGAGGAAAATGTTGAGCATTCAGTAAGAGCTCAGGAGGCAGACACCAAGAAAATATTTAGTATTAATACTTGGCCAGAAGAATGAACTCAATGTGTTTATCTCCAACTGAAGGTTTGGAACAAATCTCCACTCTCCACTTTGTGGAGAGTCAATCTCCACAAAGGGTCCTTTTAGAGATATTTCCATTGAAGAGGACACTGAAAACCAAAGCCATAAATCACTTACCTGAGGATGTTTTTTTTACACTTTGCTCATTTCATTAAAATTCTAATACAACTGGTAGGTCATTTTGATACAACACAACTCACTGGAATATAATACAACCCGATTCTCATAGGTGAATATTAGATAATGTATTTAAGGGCTAGTTAATGGCAGAAAACTAACACACCTCAAACATTAGATACTATTTTTATAATTATGACCCCAAATGGATTTGATCTTCCTTTTCAAATCCTTTTAAATCACTGGGTTTGATCAAATATTTTTGAAATGTGAGCAGTAATCCAATTCATGATCAGGAGGAACAGTTGCAAGAATTAAAAGCCTCTGGTTCTACTCTACCTATACTCCAGATATAGGTAACATTTTCAATTTTCTAAAACAACTTCATTCTGCTGATGTCTGACTTTCTCCAACCACACATCAGCAGGAGGCAAGAATGCGTGCACGGGATCTAGGGATGACTAAGAATTTGAACCTCATTAGAAAGAATTTAGCTTCATTATTTTTTTCCCAAAAAAGTAGTTTGGCATTATTCCTAGCACCCTTGTACCCAAACCTCTGCAGTGCATCTAAGATTAAATTATCTTCTCATAAAATTGACTGCTTTTAATTAGAAACATTTTAGGCTGGACTGACAGATTGACTAGCAAGGGATGCAAAGAACATCTTTGCTTGTTTTAAAATCAGTGTTTTAAGGAAGGTTGCTAGAGGAACAGCGTTGTGAGGGGCCTTGGAAATTTCTAGCACCATCTGCTTTACAGGAAAAGCAATGCAAAGAGAAGGAAAGGCTGTGTGTCTGTGTCTGTATCTGTGTTTCTCTGGTGTATAAAGAAAGAGAGTTTGTGTGTTTGGGGAGTGGGGAGTGCAGAAAGAGGTGTTTAAACAAAGACTTTTCTGAAAAACAAGTCTATGATTTGTTAAAAAGAAATAGTTTATACTGACATCTCTACTGCAGACAGTTTAAGAAAGCATATTAAATAGCCTCATTAGGGAAAGCTAAACTAAATGGCTTGTTTTTTCTTATTGTTTTTCATTTTGGACTTCTTCACATTTTTAAAAATTTCTTGCAATTTAATACAACGTGGAAAATATGCTGAGTAAAATGATTCCAAAATTTTCTGAAGAGAAAAATACATGTATATCTTGAAATTATTTGTTTATATGTCTGCCTTCCCTTTAGATACAGCTGCTCTTTGTGAATGGCTAATGTGTCTTTAAGTTTGTAAACCCAGAACCAACAACCGTGCTTAACACAGTGCTTCACATGAGTGAATGAATGAACAAAAGGAAGAAAGCAATAAAAAGAGGAAGGAAGGGAGATAATCCACTTCTAGGAATAGTCATGAAAATGAGATTATTGGAATCACTGATACATGTTCACCACAGTGCTGTAAGCAGAATATAGAGCACAGAGGTTCAGAGTCAGAGGTGGCCTGCTTGGATTTAAACCTTGACTTCCTTACTTGCTAGATGTCTGCTCTTGAGCAAGTTACTTTCCTCAAAT